AAAATCATTTTAACTTTGTTTATTTCTTAATAATTATTATTTGTGCTCTGAAAATTTCACTAAAATTTATTTACGCATTTTAGGCTTTTAGGAAATTTACAAAAATCCTCTAAGCCTTATTTGGCTTTTAACTTTGCACATTTTAATTGTTGGAGGCTTTCACACGGATTTTAATTATTCTAGGCATCATTTAAGGGATATATTTTAGAGTCGTTTTGGGACGTGACAATAATCTTCAATACATGTGAGCAAAGAATGCCATCCTTCTGAAACATACAACAAATGCATGTGAATTCCTCTGAGTCCAAGTCCAATATCACAAGGTATTTTCTATGTCTTATTTCCTTGTTGATCACATTCTTTGATTGAAACACTGCATAACACTTCATTCTCTCAATTTCCTCAATTTCCAATTCATTTGTCTTGCTGAGCTGAAACTGAAATTTTTTGAATATTTTGTTGTTATACAACCTCACTGCTTGGTATTCAATACAATAGTGTGACCACATTCTACTTGGTCTTTTTGTCCTTGATTCATGATCATCATGTTGCTCTAGATTTTGAATAGTGTCCATAACTCTTTCATACTCTGTCAAGAAACTTCTAATGCTGTATTGTGGCCCTACATTCTTTTTGAATCTGGAATTTGTACCCTCACTTAGTGCTGTTGATTGAATGAAAGGGCAGAAATTTGTTTTGAAATACACTGGAATAAATCTTTTTCTGATTTCCCACATGTTTCTCAGAAAATTGATGTCTTGCAAATTAAAAACTTGAATCATATCCTCCCAAAGAAACTCAAATTCTTCTTCAGTCAATGAGTTGTGTATGATATCATTGTATATGTCATAAAGACCTTGTCTCTTCTTGAATAGAGAACCAGATCTCTTCAGAGCTTTTGAGACTATATGGAAGAAACAATTTCGATGTTTGGCTTCTGTGAATATATTTTTGATTGCCCTCATAGCACCATCCTGATCAGTAATGATTGTCTTTGGTTGCTTTCCATTCATTGCTTTCAAAAAAGCTCTGAAGAGCCACTCAAAAGTTTTAGTTGTTTCATCATGTATAAAAGCACAACCAAATAGTATTGTGTTCCCATGTCCAGATACTCCAACAAATGGTGCAAAAGGCAGATTATATCTGTTTGTCAAAAAAGTTGTGTCAAAACTTATACAATCGCCAAATTTGTAGTACCACTCCCTAGATCTTCCATCAGTCCAAAAAAAATTCTTCACTTTTCTATTCTCATTAAGATCAAACTCATAGAAGAAATTGGGATCTTCTTCCTGCTTTTTCTTCAAAAAAATTCAAACATTGCATCAAATCATTACTGCTTGTTTCTCTGTTTATTGCTGTTCTGACATTGCTTATATCCTTTTTAGTGTAAGGCAAAGAAGTTAGACCACCTCTTAGAACAGATAATATTACAATCTTATTTCTTGTTGGAATATGGCATTCTTTCAAAGTCCTGATTAGAATCTTTTCTTCTGTCGACATGTATTTGTGAGATCTTAGAAATCTAGCCTCATCTAGAGGACTGAGCTCATGATTGTGATCTAAATCTATCCTCGATATAACCCAAATCGAATTCCTCTCACTGATTACAAGAACACATTTGCATTCAGTCCCTATGACTTCATTTGTTTTCCTTTCAGAAGTAACTGTTTCTTCCTTCTTATTGCAATCCGACTTCACATACTTGTTGCATTTGAATGTTACTCTAATAACTTCTCCATTTCTTTTTTTTACTTACTGTTCTAGCACTGTGAGCATTGACAATAGAAAATCCAGCCATGTATGCATAAAAATTGAAGTAGTTCTGTGCCTCATCTATTGATTTGAATTTCTGATTCAACTCTGGAATATATTTTCTGTCTATGCTTGCATTGTTTCCTTTTGATGCTTCCTGTTGTTCTTCATCTAGAAACTGTTCAATATCTTCTTCTGTTAGAAATTCTTCATTCAAATCAGGATCATTTCAATAGTACTTTCGCCTTTATCACTAGACTGAATTGAACTTTGTTGCTGTAATTAAACATTGGACCATAAATTTACATTATTGAAAATTTATCTTTATATCAATCTTAATTGATATGAACCATACATATTCATGAAAAATTCATACCTCAATAGATTCTTGTAGATTGAACAAATCTAGAGACCAAGGTTGTACAGAATCAACTTGAGCTTCAAAATTCATTTCTGGAATCACCTCAGACATATTTTTTTGCATCAATGACAGTCTGCATAGAATCATTTCCATTTTGTTCAACCTGCACTCATGTAAAATTCAACATAATGATTTTTTGATCTTTTTTATTAATCTTAATGTTTTCTGAATGATATATTCAAATAATAAATTTTTTAATACCTCATTCACAAAATTATAATTGAAGTCAACATTTGTGCTGCTGCTTTCTAACATCGAATTCTGCAAAGAATAAAAATAGTTTTTAAAAAAACAATTCAAAAAAATGAAGAAATTCTAATTTTCAATAGAGTGCAAGTTAAATTACCTCCAAATCATTGCATCTTGTAGGTTGTGAAGATATAATATGTTCCATTAGACAAGTGTATGAAGTAAATTTATCCTGCTTAAAATATATTAATTAAATTAAAACCAAATCAAAATAAAACAAATATACGATATCTGACAATGTATAATTACATCAATGAAATCTTAATCCAATAGTGATAGAACATTGGTTTGATGTATTTCTTCTACATAGTTCATATCCTGTTCTCCTGAAAAAAGATAAAACAATCTAAAATATGTAAAAAAACAAATTCTGTGTAGTCAAAAATATATATACCTAACATATCTTCTTCAAATTGAATTCTTTCATTTTCCATTGTTTTTACATTCTCGATAACAGCTATTCTCTTTCCCTTGTCAATTTCTGAATCTCTTTGAGTGTTTCCTGCATATTATAATAGAATAGACATATTATTGTTTCATTCTAATTTATTTAATGGTTCTAAATTTATGTTTCTTACCAGTTTTTGTATCACCTTTGCCATCTTCAAGCATATATGATCTCATCGTATTATAATTTTGCTCCAGTAACCCAAGTCCTTTATTTATTAAAAAAATTGAATTAATCTGATGTTTGTTTCTTATGAAATTTAAAACCAAACTCTGAATACAATTAGTCAAAAGAAATTATGTAATTTTATTTTCAATTACCTTCATCTTTTGATATTGTCTTCTTCTCAATGTTTTTGTCTCTCTCTGTTAAATCCTTCAAAATACCTGCACAACATATGAATTCTTTCTAAGTTCATTTAAACATATCAATGAAATAAAAATTTATATGGACAAATGTTTTTTTTTCTGTTCTTACCTGACTGTGCAGTACTTGATCGTGTACTACTTTTCTTTGCATCTATTATAAATGATCTTGTCCTATTGTAATTTTGCTCAATTAATTGTAAACCTGTTTGAATGAGATTTTCTGATTATAATTCTGATTTCATATTGAAATAAACAACATAAAAAATTTATGTTTTTTCACCTGATTGTGAAATTTTTTTGTTTAAATCCAAGTCAATCAGCTGTTGTTTTTTTGCTGTTTCTGTATACATAGAATTTTCAAAAATTAGTAAATTTTTTTAATGAACAGTTGTATGCATAACCTCATTAAATTATATAAACATATAAGTCTGTTCCCAATAAATTGATATGCAATATGAATAAAGATCTTAAGTCCACAAGAATTTAGTTAAAATACCAAAAGTGCAATCTTGTAACTAACATATTTGATTGTCAAATGAGTGATGAAATTCTATCTATTATGAATAAAGATCTTAAGTCCACAAGAATTTAGTTAAAATACCAAAAGTGCAATCTTGTAACTAACATATTTGATTGTCAAATGAGTGATGAAATTCTATCTATTAATTGACAGTTCTATTGTAGATTCATATGAAGATTTTGTCAATAGTCTAAAGTGTTGTGCTATTGTAGATTCATATGAAGATTCTATCAATTGTCAAATGAGTTACGAAGTACTGTGTATATAGTGTTGTGCTATTTTATGCTTCTTTTACATGGCGTATAGAGGACTGATGGATTAATGCAATTTTTGGCCCCTTCACAGGAATCCCATGAACTTGAGTCATTTGTGAGTTATTTTTTTCAAGATACAAAGAAGGAAGTTTAGAAGATTCAGAACAAGAATTAGAAGAGTGTTGATTTTAAGAATTAGGAAGTTCAGAACAAGATTCAGTACCTGTTGATTTCATATTCCTCAGATCTTGAATTTTGTTTGCAGATTCTAAATCCTTCGTTTTTTTGCAATCTTCTCCTCTCTGACTCTTCTCCTTCACCTCCATCTTCTTCTTCCTTGTTCAATATATTGCTCTGATTTTTCTCTTTGGAAGCAAAGTTGCTTTTTTGCTTTAATGATCAGATCACGTGCCTATGCAGAGCATCTTCTTGGTTCTCAAGTTTTCTTCAATAGGCAATGTGGTCACGTGAATTCTCTCTGTCAGTTTTGATGTGGTTGTAATATTGGATTTGGCCCATGTTTTAATTTTGGGCTTCTTATTGTTTTGGACACCAAATTTTCTGTCGACTGAGACATAGACAGTCCCTTTTAAAAAGCCCCTCTCTCTCACTGCTTCATGGCTGCATGGCTGCAGAAGTCAGGTGCATGCTGCATGGCTCTTAATACCAGTGTATCTACCGGCGCAAGTATCAAAATATCACACGGTGTAACTGCTGTTGAAACAGTTTTATTGGTGTTTACAATACAACACTCACGCCCTGTATTAAGGAACGGAGGGAGTAGTTAAGGTACGCCGGATATCTATTATTGCGGTTTGAGGACGATTTTGTATCCCGCTGACAAGTTGAGGGATCTTCGGTGTACTTTTCCAGGCTACTACTCCTAGTCTATAGCAGAAGGTTTCAGCCCAGAGAACGTAAACTCAAGCCCATATTAAAAGCATTAGGCCCACTAAATCTTACTAGAAGCCCATCATCCTGGGCCGACGACTATCCCGCAACTCATTGCTCGCCTTGTCCCGTTGCCCTATTCCACTCCAAGCACCAAGCAGCGCCTCATGGCGGCGGCCGCCGGGGACGGTGAGGACGCGAAGGCGACGCGGCAGCCGGAGCAGCAACCGGAGGCTGCGGCGGCGGAGGCTGGGGTGGCGGCATATGGAGGCGGCGTGATCGCGAAGCTGGAGGAGCAGTGGCGGAAGACGAAGGAGCACGCGGAGACCTACCCATACGTGTGGGGATCCTACATCCTCGTCTACGGCGGCCTCGCCGCCTACCTCACCTGGCGCTGGTGCAAGCTCCGCCGCACCGAGGACCGAGTCCGCGGACTCCAGGCCCGCCTCCGCCAACTCGCCGCCGCCGAGGAGTCGCAGGCGGCTTCCACTCCTCCTCCGCCGCCGCAGCAGCCGCCGCTGTCTGGGCCCGGCAAGCCAACCTCCGGCCCGTGACAAAGTAAGCCCCCGCAGCTTGAAAAGAAAGGTTTACATGTTACAAAACAATTACTGCATCATTTGAGCTCGATGCAATGTTTGGTTCCTTGCTTAGTAGTAGGTGATCCTAGATTGGGAGGAGATAGGTGAAATGGAGAATGCTAAGTGGCCTTTGGAAATTCAGTGCTCGTACTCGAAACCATTCTGCCAAAGGTTTAGATTTTTGCGATCAATGTATGATGATCATTCCCACGAGCGATTTGGGTTTTTTTGTTGTCACCAAAACCCATCTTTGAGACATTTGCATCATCTCTGTATTTCTCACATTTTAGAGGAAAGACGGTCACCCACCCAGCTTTAATTGAAAGCATAAGAGTTCATGTATTTCTCACATTTTGCAGTGCTGAGCTACTGATATGCACTTTTGCCCTCCAGATTACTGTGATCACCAGATAACAATATGTTGATCTAGCCGGATCTTGTGTTGAAGCATCATCATTGCAGACCTTGTGGGGAATTCGATAGAGAAACCTAAACAAACTTGGTATGATGCGATTTCTTTCACATGGTCCGATTGGATTTGGAGGGTAACAATATATGGTTCCCTGGATAAATCAACAGAATAAGCACACCCAATTTGTTTGCATCGGCCTTAAGCCCTTAACGTTGGGATGATTTCTGGATGCCTGAACCTAAAACTGTGAACTAGAGAATAGTTTCATTCGGTTATTTGATGCCGGCATCAAAGTTTTGGTATTCATTGTTGTGCCTGAGAAATTATCAAGCTTTGTACTTCCCTTTCCCTTAACATAGCACGTTTAGCTTGCCCTGTTCTTTTTAGCTTATCCACTGGATTATTGCTGTGGGTTATTTGCTCCACGGCCACACTTCTAAGCTATCTGTTCAGTTTATTTCATAAAATGTTTAATTTATCCCTGTAATCAAGTAGACAATCCGTGGGAGTAATCTGCTGAATAATTTGTTTCAAACGCTAACCTTTGTGATTCGGTGATTATAAACTGTCTTGAGATTCATGAGTTACCTGGTGCCTAAAATTTCAAATCAAGTTATTGCTAATTAGCAGTTTGGCATGCCCATTTTTTGTTTTATACTTTGCTCCATCCATTATTGTTTGTCATTGCTGCAATGCATTGAAGACAAATTTGTCTGTACTAGATGGTAGAGACCATTACTGTACAGTCAAAATGCAAGTAGCCCTGTATTTGCCACGAGCTTTGTAACCAAAACACCTTATAATATAAGGTGTACTTTGATTCTCCCGTTCACAATCCTTGCTTGGAGTTGGATTCCCTGTTGTGGCAATATCATCAGACCATAGACATTCAGGGAGCTGTCTGGGTTAAGCTCTTGCATAGGAGGCCCACTCAGCTAGGATATTTATTTCCTAAGTTATCATGTCTGGGACTTGATCTTAATTCAGCTTATCGTCCCTCTCGACACTGTTTCGAATTGTGATTATGTTATGGGAGTACAATAATTCCGACCCCATAGGAGCTTGTGGGGCTGTTGACCAAGGTTGGACTCGTTTGGAATGTCGACCAGATGCAGCTCGTTTTTCTTTGCAAGGAAAAATGTAAATGCATGCTATATCTTTCTTCTCTCATTCTCTGCTATTATAAATACTGGGATTCTCCATTCCATAAAGCTACTCCGACTATCTGAGTGCTGACCGTTTTCATTTATTTGTGCCACAAACTCTAAAATCAACTGCGTGATTCAGACTTTCAGAGCAGCTGATAGGTCTGCCTCGGGTCATTCAGATTTCTCTTTGCCAGTATTGCTAGGATTCAGTCTGCTAAAGTCTGGGAGTTTGAGGAGGAGCGAGAGAGAGTCGGAGAGAGCAGCAGGTTTGGAAGCCAAGACATGGTCCTTGCACAGCTCACCAACGACTGATGCCACTGGAGCTCCATCTGCAGCAAAGGCAACAAAATAGTACACACTGGGTAGGTGCCCCGCTGATGCCCTTCTGCTACTCTGCCCGACACGGCCATGTGGCGTCGAGCAGAAACCTTGTGCCAAGAACTGGCCCTTTGATTCCTTTTACCAAGACCCTCTCCCATTCCGGTTCATGAACTTGCACTTATTCACTGCAGATTTGCTCCTTGAATCGTACCTCTGATCCCGGTAAAAATTATGCTAGATGTTGCATATTTTTGGGAAGAGGTTTAACCTATTTCGTGGTGTCATTGTGATTGATCCAAGTGCTCTGACCTTAGACCTTGGTTACATGTGCTGAAGTGCATTTTCTCTTTTAACTGAATATACAGGTGTCGCCAGGCTGATCTGCAGGCACAACTGTTATTTATTTGGAAAACTGTTAAGCTACTGTGGTAGTGTGATTATCGCATTTTGGTGGTCACTGCTTGATAGTAACTAAAAGACAGATCGGTCTGAGGGGGATCACTGGGCATTCCACGCTGAAATGAAAAGACTATGCTTATTAATTGGGAGGGCCACTGGGGAAAATGGCTTTGTCGGAGGACTCCAGATCGGCATGAAAATCGCTCTGGCCACTACTATCTGCCTCACCGTTAACCCTACCGAATAAATTAGTAACTGATATATAAGGATCTAACCACAAGATCATGGTGTTAACCTCAGAAAACGAAACACACGGAGGGTATTTTTACAGATATCACCTCGTGGCAGCTGCATTACTAGGGTATTGACATTGTCAGTTTTCTCTAAACCACAGTAATTAGTCAGTTTCAACTCGGTTAGACTGATGTTTTAGGGAGACAAATAGTCGAGATCCGTTTTTGGAGTTCGTTTCGATTCAGAGGCGGCATTTTTCTGCACCTTCATTTATTTGTAGGTTTACGACAGCCTCTGAACGCAGCTGATGCAGCCTCAGCTCCATCTACTCCTCTCATGAATTTTTAAGGCAAGCGTGTGTCATACAGCTCTCACACTCTCTCTCAGTCTCTACTCCTAGCTCGAGCTCCAATCTCTTGCTCACTCTCTGCTCAGTTGTTCAGAGCTGCGTGGCTAGTGGGGAAGTGGCAGTAATGCCACAGGTTGACCTGGAGAGCTTGGTGTGCGGCGTGGCGGGCGCCGGAGCGGGCGACAGGAAGGTGTCGTGCGAGACGGTCATCGCGGCGGGGGAGAGCGGGGACGCGTCGCCGCCGCGGATGCCGCCGCCGCCGCCGCCGCCGGACCCCGACTTCCCGCCGGAGTCGATAACCATCCCCATCGGCGACGAGGTGGCCTTCTCGGAGCTGAACCCGATATACGACCGGGACGACTCCACCAAGGGAAGCACCAACCCCAAGTCGGCGGCCGGCGCCTCCTCCAACCCCATCCCGGCCAAGTCGCGCTCCAACTCCACGCGCATCGCGGGCGCCCCCGCCGCCGCCACCACGTTCTTCGGCCTCCCCGCGAGCATCCGCCCGGCGTTCACCCGGCGCCGCCCGTCGCAGGGCCGGATCTTGCCCGACAAGCGCTCGGGCAGCCGCGGCGGCGGCGGCGGCGGCAGCAGCCGCAGGGGCGACGGCGAGGAGGAGCCGCGGTCGCCCAAGGTGTCCTGCATTGGCAAGGTGCTTTCCGACCGGGAGAGGTACGGCCGCAGCCGGGGCCGGAGATGGTGGCGCGGGTTGGTGGCCGTGCTCCTCTGCGGCGGCGGCTGCTCTTGCCAAGGAGGAGGACGACGACACGCCAGGAAGAAGGTGGCGTTGGATGAAGACCACCACGACGGGGACGACGACAAGCAGGCCGGCATCGCGGCAATGCGGAGGTTCAAGTCCGGGAGACGAACCGCCTCATGGGTAGAGGAGGCAATAGCGGCGGCGGAGGCCGCCGGCGAGGAGGAGCAGCAGCAGGAGAACGACGCCGCCGCCGACGACGACGAGAAGAAGCAGGAGGTCGAGCGCTACGAGCCTACGACACTGAACAGTGGGCCCCACGACAGGTAAGTAGGTTGCAGCAGAGGCGGGAGAAGCAGTGGTAGATGCTGGTTGGATTTGGATACGATGGTGGGGCCCCGCTGTAAGTGACCCTGCGTAGGTTCGGGCGCGATCGCCGATAGGTGAGGTGAAGCCAAAGCCGTGTCGAGTTGTATCCATCAGATTCAGCGACGAGCCGACGAGGGATGGGCGCGGGATCATGCATGCCGCGATGGTGATTGGTGAATCGCCTCGAAATGGGAGTCTTGAAATTTACCGGTGGTGTTTTTTGCTGTTTTGGAGTTTTGCACTTGGGGATCGGGAGTGTTTGCGTGCTGTGGCCAATGATCGCCGTTGTACTGTACATAACCCAGGAAATGAATAACTGGAAGCGCACAATGCGCTGTTCCATTCGTGCTCGTGCCCCCCCCCCCCCCCTCCACACTCCTTTCCGTGATCGTGCCTGCCATACTGTTGAGCATGTGTGACGATCTTGCGTGCTGCGGAGGGTGGACGCTTGTAGTTGTAGCGTACTCGCGCGGCTGCTTGTGCCATTCTCTCATCAGAGACTCACCCATGTATGGGCATCTAAACAAAGCGTGTGATCACTGATCAGCCGGTAGATTTGGTTGACTTGCAGTTGCAGATGTATCAAAAAAAAAGAAGAAAAGAAATCCAATGTCACAATGTTCTTCACCTGTCGCATCGCCACCGCCGGTGAAACGCTCCAGCGCCGCGTGCTTCTGCGGGTGTTGCCGCGTTGCTTTCACCACTGTTGCGCACTTGCTCTCGTCGAGTGAGCACTGCTCACACGAAACGTGACGTTGCGAACTTCGGCCGACGGCCGCGGGTGGTTGCGGACATCAGCCTGGCCCATTTGATGTTTATGAGCTTTGGGCCTTACGTTGCATTGCATGCGTAAAGCTCCTAGAATAAGTTCAAATTAGATCCCTCAATTTGTCATCGAGTCTGAAATTCATCCGTGAACCGCAATACCAGATTTGACGCATCCCTCAACTTTCAAAATCAGTGCAAAGAAGGTCACAAGGCAGTTGGGATGGTAGTTGCTGACGTGGCACATAAAGTCAGAAATAACTGTTGGATCTTCATGTAAGTGATTGTTTGGTTAAAACAAAAATATTACAGTGGTATTTCGGTTAGGGACGAATTTCAGACTCGGTGACAAATTGAGGGACCTAAAATGAACTTATTCCAAGCCCCCCAAGAACCATAGTTTCTGGGCCAGATAAGCTCCTTTTTCACTCTAAACACAGTTACACACTTCTCATTTCTTTGGACCGAGCAACTTCAAATCTGAGCTCCGAATTTTCATTTTCTGATGACTGGTATAGTGTTTTTTAAGAACTATTGGTACTTCGGTAGAGTATGAAAGTATGAAACAGAGCCAAGCAGCTCCAGCTAAGACAGTCACAGATCATTCTGTACCACATTGAGCCGTGTTCGTTCAGACAAAAAATCGTATCTCTGTATTTAAATGTAACAAATGACACACCACATATACTTCATCTGTAGCTATAATTCCGTGTAAAATCTGCTACGAATCTAGATGAATAGATACAGTAACCCCACCAATAAAACGGAAAACGAAAGGTAGCAAAATGAATTCTATGAGCCTAATCATGAACTTGCCGTTGCTTAAAGACAGTTACAGCCACTTCGTCCAGAATTGAGAGCCTTCAGTTCTTTCAAAGTGACGTGACTGACCGATTAGCAATAACAAGGACATGGTCAAGCTAGCTAGTACACCAGGTTTATCTAACAGCTTCCTCCTCCGCAGTTAGTGCGACTATAGTAAAGATCTCGATGTCCATTCAGAACTAGTATAAATTCTCAGTCTCCTGCATCATAAAACAAGCATAATGAGTTGATAGAAGCTATAGAACTTAGAAGTGAAAATTGCATAATGCATTCTCTCTGGAGTCTGGACAAGCATGAACGCATGCTTCTTGTAATCTTGCTCTAGCGAGGTAGTATAAAAACTTTCATAGATGCCAAACAGGAAAAAAATATACCACTACAGGGACAGGGATAGGGTAGGCAGCCAGATTTTTTTTCTTCTTTTTTCTGAAGACTGGTTGGTAATAGATGGTATATTAGCTACACATTTCTGATATCGGGAATAAAGTCTCCTAGCCAGCAATCGCACAATGCTACATGGAAGAGTGTGACTTTAGAATAAAAGTATCAGACAAAGGCGTAGATATTCCACGATCCACTTGTACGTCCTCTTTCGAGGAAGCGCCTCCACGTTTACGCGATGATTACTAACATGACGATACAGGCTCAGCTACATGATACGGTTTTTTTTTTTTGACTGTATATACATCATGTGACAGATTTTTTAGCCTCCTATCATGCAGATTTCTTACCCTTTGGATGAACATCTAACGGATGACATTAATATATACAAACAAAATACAAAACAACAAACGGGCCACGTGGACAATCTAAAGCTCACGTGGGTTTAAATGGGCTCAAGTAGTTTTCAGACTTACATCGTAAATATACTAAAATTACATATGTAATTATAGTGTAAATACGATGTAATTCAGACAAACCCTCTCTCCGGCGCGGATTTCAAAATTTCAACAGTAAAAGTGGGCCCTACATAAACTCTCATGGACACAACATACAGTGGGTCCCATAAAGAGAAAAAAAGGTCCAACATAACCGTGAAAGCCCAAAGCCCACAACTAAAAATATTAAAAAACCCACAAAGAAAATAGAAAAAAAGAAAAGAGTGCACGAATCTCAAACATATCAGAGGGCCAATAAAACGCATGATACAGCCCATAAAAATCATGCGACAGACAGATAGCCATTCCGTTTTTTTTTTTTGCATCACATTAGTTGGCTTAATTGACCTCTCAAAACTACTTCCTTCGTTAGCGAGTAGTGATCAACAACTTGCTTATCCAAGCGTGTTGCTGCAGTCGCAGACAGGGACAACACTGCTCTACCTGAAAACGTCCCTACTCTATTTGGATTGTAGCAGCAATGGTGGTGACTCGAGGAAAGCTTTCGATGGTTCTCGACAGTGGCTGGTTGCCGTTGGTTTGGAAGGAGCTCTCAAAGCCTGAAGGGACCTGCAGCAATGGCGCTGCAATATGATGCACCGAACAAACAGTAGCCCATCATCCATGACACGCGACCCGGGAGGATACGCTAACTCGCCATTATTTCACATGGCGCACAAGCGGCTACCGGCCAAAGCGCCGAGTCGGCCACGCGTGCCAGTGACCGGTCACCTACCCGCATGGATCTAAACCCGAGGATTCCGTTGCAATTTTCAACAGGTTGTTTGGTACTTGATGGACTTTCTAAGCACACAATCTGGCAGTAGTAACAAATTGCCGTATCAGGTATTGGAGGGTGCAGAGATGAGCTTCGGTTAGTTACCTTGCTGTCAGGACGAACACATGCAATCGGCCGGCTCTGAATGAAATGACAACTCAGAGACTGCTGGATGCGTTAGTCAGAAGTGAACCACCCCCAATCATTCGTTCAGTCGTGGGACTTTCTTTCTCTGCTGCGTGGTACGTGTGGAGGAAGCTCAGAGGAATAATGCGCCGAGTAGGACAACTACCCCCATCCCAGACGTCATCTGCAAGCGAGAAGGTGAGCAAAAACAAAGTGAGATGATCACACCGATCAAGCCTTGTTTGTCAGTGACAAAACGAGATGTCTCTGTGCAACTACTATGACGGAATGAGATGTTTCTGTGCTGCTACTGTGACACTTTCAGAAACGCGAGTACAAAAGCGATGCAAAGGCCGCCGCGGCTAAAATGTTCTCTGTTTCCTGTTCAGTCAAACATTCCTAACATTGCCGCGCTTTCTGTGATGCCCGTTCATCTTTCGACCTCCCCTTTGGGTGTTTCCACATCTTGATAGGTTAGTGCACAGAGGGGAAAAGGCGACTTTTTTTCAGATCGTTGTGAGGGGAATAAGAGAAAAGATGAAAGCTTTTTTCTGAGCCACATCGCTGTCGGCCAAATTTTGGAATCCAGGCCTACCCCATGGTTGATTTGCACGTTTTTGTATACAAAGGTATCATTAATTAGCAAGAGAATGAGGACAGAAGGGGCAATACTAGCAGTAGCAGTGTCAAAGATGCTGTCCTTACCGCCAATCTGGACGCCGACGAGAACATCTGCGCCGAGTACGGGTCGAACGGCCCCGTCCGCCCTGACACGCCACCGGCGCCGGTGTTGATGGCGTAGACCGGCGAGCCGTTGGGGTAGAAGAGACCGTAGTTACGCTCCGAGGTCGGCCCGGGTTTCATGTCCTCGTTGAACAGCGCGAACACGAACACGTCGATGGGCACGTTGGGCTTGAGCGGTGTCCCCTGGTTCATGGCGATCCGCTGCATCAGGTTGCCGTTGTACGCCGCGGCGTTCTCCACGGTGGCGCCGGCCTCGTCCTCGTCCCCCTTGGACGGCCACCCGGTCTCGGAGATCCTCACGCCGATGTCCGTGTGCCCCATGGCCTTCATGGCCGCGTACACGGCGTCGATCTGCGCGTACAGCATGTTGTCGTAGGAGAGGTTGGTGTTTGGGTCGCGCACGCCGGGGTTGGGCTCGAACAGCACGTACGGCAGCGACACGCTCCCGGGGCTCGCCTTGTACGCGAAGAACGGGTACGCGTTGATCAGGAACGGCGAGTTCGTCTGCCCGTGGAAGTCGAGCAGCGGCTGGATGTACTGCGCGAGGTCCTCCCGGAACGCGCCGGACGACGGCGGGAAGCTGGTGGCGAGCACGTTCACCGAGTGCGCCGACGACACGGTCACCTGGCCGCCGAGGCCGAGTTCGCCGACCGCGGCGTAGATCGCCTTCATGGCGGGCAGGAGGCTGGCCATCATGCCGGTGTCGTTGCCGGAGAACACCTCGTTGCCGACGGTGATGCAGGTGATTCGCGTGGCCGGTAGGAAGGGCTGCACGTGCTGCGTCACCCACTGCCTGGCGGCGCCGGGGTTGCCGGCCATGGACTGCAGGTTCTCGTTCCCGATGGCGATGATGAACTCGACGCCGGTGTTGGCGAATGCCATCAGCACCTTGGGGTCCGCGTCGTAGAGCTTCACCTTGTTCACGTTCAGCGACTGGAGGAGGCCGGCCACCTGCGTCGGGTCCGGCAGGTTGTTGGCGATCTGGCCATAGTTGATACCAAATTTCTGCGCCGCCGACACCACGTCCACTGCGAACACACGACGAGCTTACCAGTGAGCAATTACGTACAGCGATTACATCAAAATTTCTTCAGGATAAGATTTTTTTTAAGAAAAACTATGAAATCGAATTTCCTTTTCACAGCACGGAATACTTTAGGTACCAAGTCACTTTCGCAATTAGCTCGCCGAAAAAAAAACCCGATGATATCGATGAACGATACACAAG